AGAGAGAGAGAGAGAGAGAGAGAGAGAGAGAGAGAGAGAGAGAGAGAGAGAGAGAGAGAGAGAGAGAGAGAGAAAGAGAGAGAGAGAGAGAGATTCAGGGTTGCTGTTATCTCACCTTGCCTGCCATATGGCCATATTCAGGGGTGCGCGCGCGGGAGAAACTCGTGCCCGCATCTGACTGTCCACGGCCACGCGGGAGAAATTCGCACCCGCATCTGACTGTCCACGGCCACGCGGGAGAAATTTGCACCCGCATTCGAAATCGCCCGCCAACCGGTAACGGAACTTCCAGCCGCGGTAGGTGGGCTCCACAAGGCCGTGTTGAGTGGTCTCTGCCCAACTTTCGGTACGTGGTCTCCTCACCTCCCGGTTCCTCGTCGCCTGGGCCCAGTGCAGCCACACTTTGAGTGATCTTTATGCCTGTTACGAAGTTTTTTTTGCCTATTTGAACTGGGACAATGTTGATGTTGCCATTAAGTGTTTTACTTGCCATTTTGAACTAAAAGTGTGACCCCGGAGCAGTTTCCCCAAAAAGCAACTGAGGTAGGGCGCAGCGCTACCGGGAGCGCTGTGTTCCGCCCTGGGTTGTGACATCGCACAGATGGGCCATGGTGAGGGTGCGCGGCGACGACAGTGGCCATCTCTTCTCTCAACCAGGCGCTTTGCGCACGCGCAAGTGACCAGAGGCGCTTGTCCACGCCAGGTCACAAGGTGATGTGGCGGATGGACTAACTCCCGTTGGCTGTTTTTCTTCTGGGAGTTCCACGTTTCACTCCATTGCTGCTGCGTTTTTGCACCTGGCATATGGCCTGAGAGGCGTTGGCTACCTTGACGCCTGTGGAGTACAATGGAGTCAGCCCTTGGTAAACTGAAATGCGAGTGCAGTGGCGACATCAATCATGAGGAAGTGGGTGTGTCAACATAATCAGGGTGCTGCATCACCAACACCATCATCAACAGGGCGCAGTTCGACACCATCATCACAGTCAGGATTCATCATCATCATCAGGGTGCTGCTCGGCATCGTGACCATCATCACCGTCATCATCAACAGGGCGTGGTGAGTCAACACCATCATCATCATCAGGGTGCCGTTTGTCATCAACATCAAGGCGTGGGTTGCGTCATTATCAACGCTGCTCATCATGATGATGATCATTATTAGTTTGTCTTCATAGGGCGCCGCTGGGGCTGCTCGTTATCAGCATCATCATTATCATTACGTTAGTATCATTACCATCATCAATATTTCACCATCATAAGGCGCTGTTGGCGAAGCTCGTCGTCATAGGGCGCTGCTCACCCTTATCATCATCATCATTAGGTTATCATCAAAGGTGCTCGTCATTAGAACCATCATCATCCTTATCACAGGGCGTTGTGCGTCATCATCATCATCATCATCATCATCATCAATTTGTAATCATAGGGCGCCGTTAGTACTGCTCTTCAGTATGATCAGCATCATCATTCTGTCTTCATTTCGTCATTACTATCATCATCATCATTTTGCCATCATTAGATGCTGCTCTTCAAGGCCTTTTTTGCTTTCACATCAGCAGGTGAGTTCGTCATCACCATCACCCTCATCTTCAGGATGCTGTTCATCATCAGCAGCAAATCAAAAAAAAAAAAAAAATCTCATCTACCTTTCTCCATCATATAATTTCCTAAAACTCCTAAGGCTCGTTTTTTCTTTTCTCCACTATTAATTTCTGATTCTCCATTGGGCGTACTAATGAATTATTTTTGTGCGGGTGGGGGGCTGGGGTTTTAAGGAGGAGAGCTCTACTCCGCAGGGGCTTCACAAGGTGGGGGGTGAAATGCCCTGGAGGGAGTGGGGGCAGATTTTTGGGGGATGCCCTATTGTGGGGCTGGGAGAGATGTATGGGCTGACATCATATCCCAGTGGAGGCAGATAGGGGTGAGGGGTTGGCTGAGGCATACTTTGGGTGGAACTAGATGCCTTAGTGGAAGTAGGGGGAGGAAGCACGTATGTCCCAAGTTGGAGCTGATAAGGAGAGCTTGTGATCAGGGCAGTCCTTTTCGGTGGAGGCAGCGGAGGGACAAGGGGAGATGGAGGGGAGGGGGAAGAAATGATCCATAGCAACGTCCGGAATTCTGATTCTCCTCTCAAGCGTATACGGATTACTTTTTAGTGGGGGGGTGGGTTGGTTTTAAGGGGGAGAGCTCTACTCTGCAAGGGCTTCACAAGGAGGAAGGTGATTGCCCTGAAGGTAGATGGGCCAAATTTTGGGGGATGCTCTATTATGGGGATGGGGGAGATATATTGGTCAGCATCATATCCCAGCGGTGATAGATAGGGGCAAGGGGTTGGCAGAGGCATACTTTGGGTGGGAACTGGATGCCTTTGTGGGAGTAGGGGGGGAAATAGGTCTGTCCCAAGTTGGGGCTGATGAGGAGTGTTTGTGATATGCTCCTTTTCGGTGGAGGAAGCGGTCGGGCAGTGGGATGAGGGGAAAGGGGGGAATTTCTATATCCCTTGCTTGTATTTGGTTGGGACTCTTTCTGATTCTTTCTGGCATTTTCAAAACAAGCACCCTTGTTATTCCTGGTAGTTTGAAGAATCTCTCAGGACTCTAAGGGACTGCTGGTGGTTTGTACGAAGCAGCACTGGAATTAGACTGTTATATTCAGGATCCGTGGCTGTTCGATGTCAGAACGACGTTGGCCAGAGCCGGGGTGATGCCCTGTGACTTGCCGAAGGTGAGGGCATGAGGCCTTGAAGAGAGATCTGGGGATGCTATGCGGGGGCATCCTAAGGGACAGTTGGGGGTTGCTGACACGGACGACACTGGTCGGAGCTGGAGTGAGTCGCGTTGCTCTGTAACCTAGCGGATAAGGGGCGTGAGGCCTGGATGAGTTTGTCAGAGAATAAGTGAGTTTTGGTGAGCTTTGTTATGATCTGTTGGAAATCCCTTAGATACTTGAGTGTTCGAAGAATTGCGGTGGATTTCAGGAGGTGTTTAGCGATCGTAAAAAATGATTCGTAATTTTCTCATCATCTATCCTGATTTTCTGTAATTTGTTCATGATCTTGGAGGATACTCTCAAGCCGAAACCGGGTAATGGCCTCGATACCTCAATTTGTTCATAAATTGTTCTTAGTACTTCTTACATGTCTTCATATGGGACGCAGGGCCCGATTCCCGGCACGTGCTGCTCCCCACTAATAGATTGGAGCACGTCTTTCAAATAATTAAAAAAAAAAAAAAAGGTAGGATATTCGTAGGAATAAGGGGTGCGCTGGGAGAATTGATGAGAGGATGGGTTGGGAGGCGGCCTCACAAATGGAGCAATTGTTAGGGAAACCAATGCATGGCTGGTGCAGCGAGCACCATGTGTCTGGAACCTGGCCTCGACAACTACCAGGGCCCGACTTTATTTATATTGAAAAAAATGACAAAAAGGAAGGGGAAAAAACAAAGCCTGCGGATGTGGACCTCACAGCTCAGCCCACATTCTGCACTACGACTTCTTTTTTTTATTGGCTAGAGCACCGATTGTAAATGCGCATTGTGGTATGAGGTTGCGGGTTCAAAACTCTGCAGCCTTGCACATGGACACCGGCAGGGCGTTAGAATGATGCACGGCTGGACACACACCCCCTTGGGATGACGCAGGTAAGTTATTACAGACACTGCCTGCACACCACTCAAGGGGTAGTCCATGGGTGTTGTATGTGGGGACTGGGTGATGGTGGGTATCCTGATGTTCTTGGTCTACGGGGTTGTCATGAGACTGCTGGGTGGCTCGCATAGTCTGGTTTACTCGACCCAGCAGAGCACAACTATATACTATTTTACAGTGTAGGTCAATAGGTTAGGTCACTTGCACGATTCACATAAGGTCCCGTGTTCGATACCAGACCGTAACTTGCAATAGGTATGTCGATCAATCGTTGAGGCGCGTGTTAGCGCTAGCGCTATGGTTGGCGGGCCGCCGTGGCACGCGGATGGTGGCATGATGGTTGCTTGCAGGCGAGACGCAGGCTGGTCGGAGGTGGCGGGGTGCAGGCTTCTCGCAGGTTGCGAGGCGCTGGCTTCTCGCGAGTGGCGAGGCGCTGGCTATGTGAGTGCAGCGAGGCGCTGGCTGCTAACGAGGGGCGAGGCGCTGGCAACAAGTGAGTGGTGGGGCGCTGGTGACTTGCGGCTGGCGAGGCGCTGGCTTGGGGTGACTAGTAAGATGCTAGCTGACACGTGGCGCGGTGCTGGCAGCCGATTGGAGGGAGGCGTTGGTGCGAGGGTGCTGTGATGTTGTGAATTAGATGGGGGATAACGCTTGACGCACACGCGGTATCCAGAGGCGCTGGGTCATTACTACGTCACAGGTTGACGTGGCATCTGGCCTGAGGCACAGAGGAAAAGGGAGAATGGTAGCGACAACTGCTCTTTGAAGATTTTCCTTGTGTTTTTCACATGAAGTACTCCATAGCCAAGACCTTTAAAGAGGTTGGAGAGCTCATGCGAGTTGACGAAAGTCAATGTCAGTGGAGGAAAGTTGAGTCAGCCCTGTGGAAGCCAAAGTGTGGAGAACGTTGGTCCTACTTGAAAAATCATCACAGTGCCACTTGGAGAGAATCATCAAGAGAGCGGCTAGGAGGTCGTCATCAACCTATATATGTGTTTTCGTATGTTTTTTGTCTTATGCAGGTTATCTATCAAGAGCATCGAAATTTTCATCACTGTCTTTTCAACGGGGGTTTTTCATCAAGGACACTGTCATTTCTGTAATCCTCATTTGGTTACCGGTGGTAATCATCATCGGCTGCTCTAATTCGTCATCCATGTTATTTATCTTCTTTTTATCTTCTTCATGATTATCATCCGGACTTCTCTGTAAAAAATTAAAAATCGTAATTATCGTCATCTTCTATTTTCATTACAGCAATACTGTGCTGTCAATCGTCCACACCGTTGCCATTAGGGCATTGCAAGTTCGACGTTCCTTAATTATTTTTGCCAATTTTAGTTCAACATCATCATCATCATCATCATCTACCAATCTGAATCTTTATCAACATCATCATCATCTACCAATCGTCATCATCATCATCACGGCTTCTTTATTCATTTTTTCATCAATCAGTAGTTATCTCTGCGTTGGTGGTTATATTCTCTTCTCCCAGATAGGCTATGGTCTAGTTGGTAGGTATGTTGGTCAGGAAGGGAGCGCTACTCCGCAAGGGTAACACAAGGTGGGAGGTGATTGCCCTCAAGGGAGTAGACACAGATGATGGGAGCTGACCTGGGTTGGGGCTGGGAGATATGTATGGGGGCACATTATCTCCTGACAGAGGCAGACTAGGTCAGACTGTTAGTTTGGAGGTACACCTTTTGGGGGAACTGGTTACCTCAAGGTAGAAGGGAATGGGGAGGTTCTCTCTCTCGTTGGGGCTGGGGTTGTGCTCAGCGGAGGCAGCGAGAGGAGAAGAGGAAATGAGGGGAGAGGAGGAGAAGACATGGAAGAAGGGGAGGGGTGGAGAGAAATAATCATCAGCGTCGTCATCATTATCCATTACCTTTGTGATCATCTCAGGGTACTCGTCAAATTTCATCATCAGAAAGTTTTGCTGATCAGGATTCTGATATTATCAGATCCTTGATTTCTGATTGGCATTCTAGATTAGCTAATTTCCTAATTGAGTCTTCTTGTGCAATGGCCAGGTTGAGTTGGCGCCAGAACGACGCTAGCCGGCGCTGGGGCAGTGCCCTGTAACCTGCTTATGTAGGAGCTTGAGGCTTTGTATAGAGGTCTGGAATTGCCGAGGGAGGAAGGCAATCTGCAAACTTGACTAATGGCTACAATCTGGCCGACGATGGTCGGAGCTGGGGTGGGTAGCGCTGCCCTGTAACCGAGCCAGATTGGGGTGTGAGACTGGGAAGAGGCCTGATTGGTGCACAACACGGGCTCAATTGTGATTGGTAGTTTGGAATGGATACAGGAAATGAGGGATAGGATAGTAATTCAGTGCTGAGTAGACAATCTTTCTGATCAGTCATCATCTAGTTCTATTTCATGACCTCAATCACCCACTCTGACATCCTATATCATCCAAAATGATCCTCAATCATCCCAAATTTTCATCAATTGTCAATCATCTATGTATTCTCATTATAAGGGACGCTGGGCCCGGTTCCCAGCACGTGATGCTCCCCACGAATAGATGCACCTTACCGCGGGGCCGGAACGGGCTCCAGGGATATACGAGGGAATGGAGGATCCCCATCTCTCTACCATCAACACCATAGTACACTGTAGTAAAAAGACAACATAAGGATAACAAACTCAGTCCATAACTCATGACCTAGGGTTGGCTATCCTCCTAGTAGCATGGGGTTGAGGCTGGCATACCAGTTCCTTAGTACGGGATGTCGGGGGTGTCACGTCCGGAACGGGCTCCAGGGACATACGTGGGAACGGAGGATACCCAGCTCTCTGTCATTACCACACAACTAAAGCTAGATGGGAGTCACTGTGCACCCTCATGAAGACCTGTAGTAGTAGCATGTTCAAACCTAGCTCCCGAAGTCCCCGTGCAATCAGGCTTGCACGGCGTCTGCTTCAATCGGGGCTGAGCAGGGGGTAGGCGTCTCTGCTTAGCCCCGGTACCTGCACCCGATGTCTGGTCAGGTCACCCCGCCAAGATGGCAATGGGTGATGGTCCTGGGTGGTTAACACTAGGGTAGGACAGGGGGGGTGGGGGTGCGCCAGGGCAAAAAGATGAGAGGAAGGGTGGGTGGGGTCTTCAGAGGGGTTCATCTGGACAACCGAGTGGCCGAGTACTGTGGGTGACTGCCATCCATCTAGTATCCCACCTCTACAACAACCTGGGCTTTTTGGGAAAAAAAAAAAGAAAAAAAAAAAGACTTCTTTTTTTACCCCAAACAAACTGTTACATTGCCCTTTGGGAAGCCAGGATCTGGAATCCGATCTACTACGACTACTAGATTCTCCATCCATGGCGAGATTCCACTGGCACAAATAGATAGGTATTGAGCTTAGATCACAAAAATAAGGTCACTATATCTTAGTCCTGGCTAGTGGAATTTTGGCCCTGAATATTTTAACCTTCCAGCCCAATTTATCCCCTTTTACCACCCCTTGAGTCAGCAGCTGAATTGCAATCACAGCCCACATGTCCATCGTCTTTTTCACCTTCATTAATCTGATTCCAACTCATGAGCTGTTTGCTAGCTGTTGCATGCCATTGCGTGTATAATTCCACTACATGGGCTGGGCACAAGTTCTATTGTAAAAAGTGATGCTGACGCGGAAGATCATATATAATTTTTTGTTTTTTTCTCTTCTTGCAAAAGAAAACAATTCACCAGTTTTTTTTTTTTTTTTTTTTTTTTTTTTTCTCACCAGTTGGTCTTTCTCAGTCAGTACACCCATGAACTGTTACAATCAATGCAGGTCCAAATCTGGAACTAGATGAATGAAATAAAATGCTTCTGAACTTACCTGGGGTCTGATGATCATATCTCAAGGCCTTCATCCTTCAGAAATAAGGGAATCATTTGCAAAATACTCCCATAAACTGAGATACATGCCAAAATGCCCCTAAAAGATGTGAAGAGAGTGGAATGCCCTTCTGACACTTTCATTTGTTTTGCAAAATACCCCTGGCATTGGTTAGACCCCCCTTCTTTTTCAATATACCCCTATCCAGTACTGTCCAACTTGGCAAAATGCCCCCGTACTTGCCAACTGTTCAAAGGCTCTATTGCAAAAGGCCAAGGCGAAAATGGTGCAGTTCAGATTGCAAATTTGTGCACCGGGGCCTAACACAGATACTTTGATTACACTTCAGGCATTCCCCCGAACATAACACCCCCCCATGTAACCCTACCTGACCAGAAAGCTAGCTTGTATACATTGCCCAAACTAGCTTGTATACATTGCCCAAAGTGCAATTTGAAACTCTTTTTTGCCGGAAGCAAGTTTTCGATGTGACTTTTTCCGAAAGAACAAACCATGAATTGATTCCAGATCGCTCAGAAGAGAGTCACGAAGTTGAGCCCCAGGCCCACACACGCGGGAAAATCGGGTGCAGATGGGACCACTTCACCAAAATTCATAAATGAAAACTTCTCATCTGAGGACTGGCTGACAGCATGGTGTGTCTACACAGGTTCGACTTCGTGGTCCAGAAAGCACAGTGCGACGCGACTGGAAGGAAATCAACCTGCAGCGACCAGTCCATCACAAGTCACTTATACTGTTGCGGCTCCAGGAGGTAGCAGCGGAAGGACTGCTCCATCCCGGGTGAGTCCCAACGGAACCTGAAACTCAGACCTTTGATGCTTGTGACTGATCTTCCTCACAGTAAATCTCCAAACTGCTGCAGAAAAAATATATAAAAAAAAGAGGAAATGATGACATCCGTAGACAGACATAATCTATGATGTGAGGAAGCTCCACAAGAGAGTGAAACCGTTACGGCGCAGTCTGAACTTCTGTGAAGTGACATGCAGGCCTCAAAACAGTCGCTGCTGGCCGATGGAAACTGAGGGGCTCGTTAGACACTCCTCAGGCATGTAAAGTCCCCAAGGAAGTTATCGTTCCACCTATCCTCGGGGATAAAAAGAGGAAAAAAGATGTGAAAACATTTTCTCCGGGAATCCTCGGGGCGTCCTCGGGCTACAGCCATTTTGTGGCCTTCCCCAAGGTACCTCCCGAGGTCCCTCAGATGTCAAGGATCCGAGATAATCGGAGTGGCAAGGGCACCCATTGTCGGCAAGAATTTTTTGTCGGCTGGTCCAGTGGAGTAGCTACCAGCCACCACACGAACATCTTGGGTCGTCAACGTTCAGCTTCCAGGATCCTTACGCCAACGGTAACCGTTGGTGGCCGGGCGGCCTCCCCGAACGTCTTCAACCGGTGGTCTCCCTCGCAGTTTGTGCCGCCAAACGGAAAGTGCTTCAACGGTTGGCAAAATTGAATATTTCAGCCGACCCGTCTTTCCATTCCCCACTGTACTCAGCAGCGTAAAACGTTAGGGGGCATTTGCCGGATGCTGCAGTCTGCCGTTTCGTCACCATTTGGTGGTGGTGTACCGGCATCGTGTAGCTGCCCTTCCGTACATGTCGTTCATGGCCGATGTCTTTCGAAGGCTGC